GCTATTCAAAAATAGTTAAATATATTTAATTAATTTAAATTTTAACATAAATATTATAAATGGTACGTGCGTAAAATTAATAATTGATATAAAAATTGATATAAATTATATCATATAGATTTATAAATGACTCAAAAAATTTTAAAATTTGTCCCTCTAACATAAATTCTTGACTTCGTCCTTGGTGGCATGATAGTATTATGATAATATTGACTATTTGGTTTAATTAATTTAAGGTTTACGTTAGAAGGTTAACATTAGAAAAATATTGTTTAATTTCTTAATTGGAACAAGTTGCATCCAAGTAAAAGTGCAAATAATATGTTTTTTATAGGTTTAGTCAATTGATGATTGATGTAAAAATTGATATAAATTATATCATATAAATTGATAAATTACTCAAAAAATTTTAAAATTTTGTCCCTCTAACATAAATTCTTGACTCTGTCCTTGGTTGCACGATAGTATTGACTATTTGGTTTAATTAATTTAAGGTTTATGTTAGAAGGTTGACATTAAAAAAATATTATTTAATTTTTTAATTGGAACAAGTCGTATCCAAGTAAAAGTGAAAATAATATGTTTTTTTTATAGGTTTAGTCAATTAATGATTGCTGTAAAAAATAATATAAATTATATTATATAAATTGATAAATGATTCAAAAAATTTAAAAATTGTCCTTCTAACATAAATTCTTAACTCCGCCCTTGGTAGTATGATAGTATTATGGTAGTTTTAACCATTTGGTTTAATTGATTTAAGGTTTATGGTAAAAGGTTGACATTAAAAAAATATTGTTTAATTTCTTAATCGGAACAAGTTGCATCCTAATAAAAATGCAAATAATGTGTTTTTTTATAGATTTAGTCAATTAATGCTTTTGCATTTTTTTTCCCAAAAGCCATTAAATTTTGTTTGTACGGATCTTTATAATGAAATGACACGGACCTTTCATAAAAGAGTTTTGCCGTAAGCAGCACGATTACGTATAATTTGATTAATTAATTAATTTAAGGTTTAAGTTAGATGATTGACCTTTTAATTGTGATAAGTTGCATCCAAGTCAAGGCTAAAGCTTACTTTTGCTCCCTTTACTTTATTAAACTTTGGTTTTAATTTTTCATTTTATATTATAATATTATTAACTTTATAAAAAATTAACAAAATAACTCTTATTTGTAATTTTTTATTTGTAATTTTTGTTATATGTACGTACTTCCGTCACTTCTGCCACACCATCCGTTAACTTTGTCGTGCCCATATAATAAAAAACTGAGAAAGCTTCTCCAAGAAACCTGCTGCATAAATTTTTTTTTTTTTTGGAATTCTAACCTTTTTTTTCACTTTTTTTTAATAGCTGCACATGTATTAATTATATATAATTTTTATATATTTTAAATAAATAAATATTACTAATATTATAAATTTTAAATAAATAAATAAATAAAATACATAATATAATAAAAAATGATACAACTTCTCCAGTAAATCTACTACATTTTTTTTAAAATTCTAACATTTTTTTGGTTGGCCCAAAAACTAAATATAAGATGAAACAAATGACGAGAGCCACGA